CAAGAAGACGGCTCGGGAGTCAGTTCCAACATGCCCCCAATCTTGAAACACCGGGAAATATGATATCACTGGTATCAGCCCCTTTAATATTCCAAAAGGTCAGACATGGGTGCGTATTTTCAAAATCACGACTTCAACCAAGGGGCTTTGGTCTATTTCCCTGCGTGCACGAGATCTTTGGAAGGTCGCCCTATTTGAGCTATACACCCATGTGTAGTGTATGCCAGACCATCCATGGGACATGAATAAATACGTCACCATGGATGGGTCAATTTCATGGGGCTTACGTGTATGTGACTACTTCCCCTAAATTGATTGATGTCGTCCACTCGCCCACAAGGCCGTTTGGGCAACCAAAGCGCGAACTCGTGGTCACGGCGTGGTCACGGCGTGGGCAATTCCACCGTCGCCGGGTAAAACCGAAATAAACCATGGATTTGTTCCATTCGATTTCAGTGGACAAACCCTACTGTCAGACACCAGGATTTCGGGTCCACGCTGCAGTGCAAAACGGCTTTCTTTTCAATGGATGATTGCATTCTATGGCTGAAATCAAGATGATGGCCTAAACTAGCAGGGCTTAGGTGACAGATGTTGGATTCGTTTCGTTTCACCCAATGTTCCTTCAAAGCACGGCCCATTTCACTAACAGAAGAACTCCTTATTATATATAATTCATCACTAACAGAAGAACTCCATAAAGTATAATTCATCTTCATCCCTATGGATCGATTCTCTCCGGATCGGAGGCTACCACAGTATCAGCACTTGCGGGCCGCTGACGCCTCCTACATCGATCTCCATCGACTCTCCGAGGGCTCCGCCCCTCGGCGCGGTCCGCGGAGCGGGACGTTTCCGAGCTGAGGGAACGGTACCCTAGGGCTCCAAGTACTTCTTCAGAAGGTATTTGGACCCCTCAAACCCACCCCAGTCCCACCATCTGAGGAAGTATTGGGAGCCCTACTAGGGTGAGTGATTGTCCTCATCTTTGTGCCAGCAATTTTGACACACTTCATTCGGTTGATCCCCCGACTTCGCCCGCAGCCCCACGCGTCTCACTGGGAGTGAGAAAAGATACACGGCGATCATCGACTCCGTGAGAAAACGGCCCAGCGGAACAAAACAACCATCTGAGGCGCTCGAAAAAAAATGCAATACCCAGACACATATATGCCGATCAGTTGGGGTGGTGCCAGGGGGGTCAATGTAGGCATATATGACAGACATGGAGTGTCTGGGATAGATTATTGATAAACAATGTAAATGTCTCATGTTTGTTATTCTTTTTTCGGTCACCATCCAATTGTGTTTGCTTTGCGTTTTCTTGAGCACTTTGAAAGTGGTGAACCATTGTTGACCCCCTGATAATCCATTCATGTTTGGGTGTGATTTGTGTTCAGTGTTGACCCATGTTGGCCCCCTTTTTGTCCAACAAACACGCAGGTGAAACAAATTTGCAATGTGTGTTTTTGCTTTCCGCCTTTTCATGAGTGTTGAAAGGGAGTCATACTTCAGCGCATGTTGCCCTGATGTGCAGATGTGTGGGATCTCCACAGAATCAGCAGCGATTCACCCAACTCACTTTCTGGACAGGAACTTCCTTTAGAAAGTCCAGCACTTCTGAATAGAAGAGTTACCAGGAACTTATTTGGTAGCTTATAGAAAGTTGGTTGAACTTCCATTACCTATTTGGTCACTCTTAATAGAAAGTCCAGGAACTTCCTTTAGTTTGGCTACCAACTTCTTAATAACTGCCCAGCCCTTCGTGAACTCGTGCCGACCAACGCGTTGTGCGAGGCCTGCCTGGCCTTGCGCCACTGGTTGTCCACCACGGTGGCCAAGCAACTGGAGCGGCCTCCCCCGCCGCCTGGCGGTCGCAGCGGTCGGGAGCAGATGACCTGCATTGTGGTGACCGGTCAAGGCGAGCGAGCGAGCGAGCGCGCGGCGCCGGTCATGGAGCGCGATCAACGTTGTTATAACTTGACGGTCGGCCGACGACTGCAGGGAGTGAAACACCGTCACCACGTCTTTTTGAGTGTTTCCTTTTTTAATTTGGATTCACCAGATGCCAGTGCTTCATGGCAAACAAGAAAAGCTGGTCCTGTGGAGCAACCACATGACTCAAAAGCTACGTATAGTAGCAACACTCCAGTCACCCCATGCAGAAAGATCCCCACGGTCACGCACTCCAGTCACGCACCCACTGAAGTCTCCAAGTGTTCGGCTTTTCAACCAGACCGTCGGGATGACGGAAGAGGTGCAAAAAGCGTGTTCTTCCTCATGAAAATGATTTTCTCATATTTTCTCATCATAGGTAACTGGTAACTCTTCCCAGTCTCATTCATGTGGTTTGCGTGGTGCTATGGTCTGACTCGGTCTCCACCAACCGCCCATCCCGCAACCTCCACCGAAACACCGTCCATCGCGGGATAGCCTCGCGTCGCTCGAGGCAAGTCCCGAAACTACTGGCAGCGCTCAGACGTGCGGGGCGCTGCGATGGACCTGTGGCGCGGATGGGATGCGATCGATCGAGACGCGTCGGTCCGGAGGCGTCGCGGGAGCTCTGTGTCTTGAGGGTTTCGTGGTCGTTGGCATTTGGAAAAGGTGCCCAGACCGCCCAATTGTCCACGCCATGTATGGAATAAAAAAGTTGTGTGGTGATGATATGCTATCATTTGCCCCATTGGTGACCCTAAAGAAAGTAACTCTGTCAAGATGGTTTTTTTGGGGTGTTTGGATGGTTTGGTGAGTGGCCAGCACGTGCGCACTGCCAAAACGCTGCCGCGAGAATCGATTCGAAGGACAACGTGGTAGCGAGCGTCCAGCAAACCTCCCATCGCAAAGAAAGCATGGACAACGAGTTTAAAGCATGGAAAAGTGTAGGGTGCCCATTGGACACCCCTTGGATGGTCCAGGTTTGTTCTATAGCAATGCCAGCACCCGACTCTACAGGTCACCACCTGCGACTTTTGAGTCTCCAAAAGCCACCAGAGCAGACCTGTTGGAGGGTGCAGGTACCTAGAACCATCCTGGACCATCCAAGGGGTGCCCAATGGACTACCCTACACTGCTGAATCTTCTTTGGACACCTCCTGATGGTCCAATGGTCCTGTCCAATTCGTTTTTGGAAATGGTTATCCCAATTGAAGTACCAATAAGGATGAGTTAAAACACCAACCACACACAGACGAAAAGGAGGGATTGTGATTGTGTAGTTCCTTCAAAAAAGGAACGAACATGGACCACGTGAACAAGATGTTCGCTTTCAAAACAAGTGGTGAATAGTATGTGTGTGTGTGTGTGTCCTTGTTGGGATGTTCATGATCGAACTCCACCTCATGGAAAGAGGGACCCCCAAGTGCAATCGAAGAGATGTTGGACCTATTCTTGCTGAACCGTGAGGGTCACCTCATTTTACTCAATTTGGTCATACAAACACACTACCCAAGGAGGCAAAAGACCCGGTTTTAGTGGGTCTTTGGATTTGTTTTAGTGGGGCTTTGGACTTGTAGAGGGAAGAGTAGCAATGCAATACACCGTATATAGCGCTTGGCGCTTGGAGAGAGGAGTTGCCATCTTCACATGTGGCAAACGTTGGGGTGATCCACAGTCCAGTGCCGAGCCGTGGCCGAGGTCGGGTGTCGTCCGGTGTCGAGTCCACGTGTGGTCCGCGAAGCAAAAGGTCCTCTCCAATGGAATCACAGATGAACCGTCAAGCACCACAAGCTGAACAAAAGAACGGTCAAGATCCTGGTTTTGGAGCTATCATAAGTCCTATGGCAAGAGTCCCACTTTGCTCTTGGGATGCTCTCCATGCCAGACCTTGCATAGAGTCCCTTCATCCTGCTTCAAGCAGTGGACGTATGAAGCCAATCAATATCGATTTAAATTCATGTTCATCATGCGTTACATACTAATTACTAATCATCATTTGCATCAGATTCTTTCATTTCCATTTCTGAAACCCGCTCAGGTTGTTGGATCTTGGGCTCCATTGCACCCTGCTGCCACGGAATCCCGGACGCCTGCGACTGCTCTTGACGCCCAGCGACCTGCCACGGCTCACGGCGACTGAGACACCGTGGCGGAGAAAAGAAACGGCGCGGGGCGGTCTGAGGTCGTCGTTGCAGGGAGCTGATGGGTGGAAAAGGGAGAGGACTAGTATAGACTTAAGTGAATAGTCTTTAGGAAGCCATGAAGTTTTGGAGATGTTTCTCAAACCCTGGCTGTTGTTGCAGGGGAGTCTCCATTTAAAGACGACTTCAACCTGCAAACAATGCGAAGATCCCCTGCTTTGCAGCACTTTTGCAGTAGTGGATGACGGTTGAACACTTGGGGTAGTGCATCGGTGCTTCATTGGTAATTATTTCTTGTTTTAGAATCGTCAAAGTCATGACACCACAAAATCTGTGACGACAAAGACGACGTAGACCATGCTGCCACAGACTCTTTTGCTGGTGGTGTCAATTCAGTGACTGGCGTTTGGGTATGTTTTTTTCGTGACCAGACTGCTGCTCATGCCGATCTCGGATACCCTTGAGATCCGGAGAGATATAGAGAGATTGAACCTGGGATGAGTAGACAATGAGCACCTCTTGACCGTGAGAGGGGGGGGTTCCAATGCAGATCCACAAGTAGTGTAGAATTCGTGTGCGGGTATTCCATTGGTTTGGTACCCCCCGTACGGAAGGTGCAGGTCGACATGCAGTGAAGGGTTGAAATGGCCACCCCAACGAAGTGGGCCACTTTTTGTTCATCGGATCTGAGGATGGTGTAGTTGTTTGGTCGGTGTAACGTAGCCATCCGTGGCCCTTGCACAGGTGGTGTTTCCACCTGTCTCCACATGTCCGCAAATCACAGCAAAAGCCAGCTATTCGATCCACATTTCTCGCAGTTGTAGATCTGCGAAAAAGATATGATATAAATAATCGTTTTTTTGTGGGGGTCGCTTCTTCGTCCCGACACCTGTATACACGTGAAAAAAGGAATTCCCAGCCCAGGCACTGTATGCTCACCATACCTGAAGCCTTGACTTCGGCTGGCGCGGTGGGTCCTTCACCGACGGTAAGCGTTCGCGCCGGTTCGTCTTCGGTTCGTTCCGCAGTCGCTGCGGCAGGAACGTAGGGGCCATAGAATCCAAGTGGGCCACAAAGTTTCCAGCAGAATGCAGTTGGGTTTCAAATGGTTTCAGTTATAGGAGCTGGAAAGAGGTGACCAAGAGATGATGTTTGTAAGAATCGAGAGGTGACGAACGGGAAGTCAAGAATGTGGAAGAATCGGAATATTGACCACAGCAATCCATGTGTCCATATTGACCTCAGCCCCGCAAACACCTCAATATAGGTCAAGATGTCATAGGCATGCGGATTTTTTGCGGTTCAGACCAAAGCAATGACACCTCTATGTGTGGACCTGGCCCCAGTGGTACGGTTTCTGTCGGTTTCGAGTGACAGAGAAGATCGGCCGGGGATTATGATTCAATGAAGGCTGGACGAATAGGTGGAGGTTCAAACCGCAAGGGTACCAGTGTCGAAGGGTGAAATACGTTCTGGGCCAAACATCAACAGGGCACGACCGCAAGAGACCGTAGAGGGTGGAAACGACCGCTTCGACGGACGATGCAGAAAGAGACATGTGGTTGACCTGCGAGGGTCCATCTGGGCATGGACCTCAGGGAGGCCTACACTCAACTGGATTTACTAACCCAGACAGGACTCAGGGGACTGCCAGGACGGACTGCCTTCAAAACGGCCAGGGGTGGTTGTTTTGGGGCAGTCCCATGGGTCGTGTCTGGGTAATGGAACTGTCCTGAGTGTCGGGAAGTCGGCACCTGGGACCTCCTTGTTGGGAGCATCCCTCACAGCCCGAGCATCCCGAAAGTGTCATTGCAGGCCATTCTGAGAAGGGCGTTCAACGACAGGCGAAGGCAACGCGGTGCACGAAGCGCGGTGATCGGATCCCTTTTCCTTCGGGGCCCCTGAAGGGTTTGCAAGCCGAAGTTCGAAGACCAAAACCGAAGGCAATCCCTACAAGTCCAAAGGCCCATGTAGAAGCTGTAGATAGAACCTGGTCGTTGGCCTCCTAAGGAGCAAAATGAGGTCATTGACCTGTGGGCAATGGTTTGTAGATGTTTGTTGTGTTTTCGACCGAAACCCACCTCAGTGATGCGGCGCGGTGGCACTGCAACGTGGCGCCGTGGCAGTTGTTTGGGGGAACGGTGGTTTGGAGCGTGATTTGCCACATCTCATCTCCGAGGTCCATGCTCGTCTCGAGCGTGGCGATGGTTTGGTGGAGAGCAGACTTGTTGGACCCTGGGTTTGAGAGCAGGTGTTCATGTGTATTTCCTTGGCCGAATTGAATATAATGATTTCAGATGATGTATCTAAGTCTTGGGAATACATGCGGATTTTCCTGAAATCCACCCGTGTCACACATCAAACACACCTCTTCAGAACCAAACCATACCTCCCCAGAAAGCCAGGCCCATTCGCTTCGCTTCCCTCGGATCGCCCGGACCTCGAGACTGAAGAGCAAAAACCACCGGCACTCCCGGGTGACTCGGGAGTGCCCGATCCGCCCCCGGAGTGCACAGCAAAGTGAGGTCTTTGGGGGGGTTCGGGTGTGGGGAGTTGACCGATCCAGGTTCTGCTGGCTGCTTTGGCGGAGTTGGAGTGCCTCAAGCCCCATGGCCACCACGAACACCGCGCAGCACCGGGGACATTAGGCGGGGTTCCCGGGGAGGGACGTGACGGAACGCCACCGGGTGATCAAAGAATGAAGATGCTACAGGACTGGTGATGGATGATTGACGATTGTTTTTATACTTCCTGAAACCTGGGGAATGATTGTTGATCAGTTTCTTTGCAGATGTTGCTCTTTGTTGCCTCCTTTTCTGTTACTGATCAGCTGTTGTTGATGAAGACATGTATAAGGGTTTTGCCAGCGGCTTTGCCATGTATAGGGAACGAGGTGAAAATCATTTGTCGCATCTCGATTTGAGTTGCCCTTTTCGATGATGTTGGTGCAAGGCGTCGTCCATCTTTGTTTTTGGTGGCCCACTTCAGTCACAAAGTCACAAAGACACCAAAAACTGAGTGCCACACGTGTCTAGAGATGAGTTTGGGGATTGAATTCCTGTTTGCATGGTCAAGCTGGAGCTATGGCGGACATCCTCACCATCCACCTGAATTGTGTTAAAGGATTGAGCATAATGCTGATGTTACTTCACCAGGCATTGGAGGTTCAAAAGGCCCCTGTTCAAAAGTGCTACTGTTTCCTCAGATTTTTGCCAGTCATTTTGCGAGGTGTGGTTGCGTGAAGGTTGGGGAGAATGGCATGATGTCAAAGTGTTTTGAGCACTTTCCCCCAACGCTTTTGGATTATATCATATATCCATATAATATCCCATTGAGCTGCATGCATGTTTACTTTCTCTCAATTCTGCATTGTTGGGGTCCTCTAGTTGAAGGTTTCATGCATGGCCGCTCCGTGTTCCGTTGGCCTCCGTGTTGGTGGACCCTGAACCGCCCCGGCCAAGCCCTCGTTCCCACTGCGACATGTGACTGCGACATGCATTCGTTTGGCTCAGACAGTGAACATGTCAAGACAAGACAGGGGACCTCAAGAATAAATGCTCTTCATGTCAAATCGCAAGTTCATGCAGGGGTCCCGATCTACGATGAGTCTTTTTCTCTGATAAGTTCCGTCGACACAAGCTGGAGGAGGAGGAGTTCACGCCCCCTCGATAGGTCCTTAGATCAACGCCACAAACAAACTTCAGCTGTCCAGCGAAGTGAAGCCGTCGTAGACTAGTCTGCCACTTTTTTGGAAAGAAAATACGTATGACTATAATCACATCCTACGACCATTAGCGACAATATATTGATAATGGTCATAACCATTATGACGTATGACCATTTGCGTATGACCATCGTATGACCATTTATGTATATATATATATATACCGTATATCCCCCCAAACCACCTGCGTTCGGCGTGTTTCTTTTCGCGCCCTAAGAACCATCAAAACGAATTCCTCCCCTGCAGATCAACATCGAACCCCCAAAGCCACGACAGGCTGGGGCTATTGAGAGAATGGATCTTCTACGGGTGAATTTCTCTGGTTCCATGTAAGGGTTGCAGAGTCGCAGCTCGGCTGACGCCAAATCCACATCTGAGATGAGAGGAAAACCCCCCGTATCCTGGAGGAGTGGGGTGCACCACATCGCTGGCCACCGAAAAGTGGGGTCAGCACACCAACACGTTCCTATATGATGCACAAGGTGTCGAATTCCCCCCCCGAAAGGTTTAGTAGGTGTTTGAAAGGTAGTTCCTGCTTCCGGGATGAATCTCAGCAGCCGTGCAGCCAATGCCTTGACACCAGCCTTTCAGGAAAAGGGACACTTGGGCTAACCGACAGTCTGGATGTCGGCAGTGGGCACACGTTCTGGACTCACTCGACTACTAATTCGAAACGGTGTTCAAGACTTTTTAAGTTGAAGGAATGCATTGCTTTTGGCTCTGATCAGAAAGGTTCAATGACTGTCACCATGACTGTCCAAAACGCTGACGAACTTGAAAAACGAAGACGAATGCCCCGTTGGAATCTTCATTGCAAACGGGGTTAATTTAACAAGGGTCTTTTTTGGCTGCATAGTTACATAGATATATCAACTCAGAGGGAGATTTCTGCAGGTATTTGGTCAGCGCCTTCTTGGATGTATATAGACGCCCAAATAGATAGAAAGGTAACATATGTCAAAATGTATGGGAACCGTTTCTATCTATTTGGGGACCACTATAACTTGTATAAAATCAAAAAGAGAAAGAAAGCGGTTTCCTCCAAATATCCATCGAAAAGAGTGTCTATCCAATGTGCTGCTCTACGTTCTGCTAGCACATCCACCAGTCGCTTTGTGCCCTGGAATAGACCCCGAATCAATGTCAAAAGAAACAATGCACAACAAAACACTGCAGCTGCCTTCGTAGAACTTTGTAAAACACGCCTTTGCTTCGTTCGTGACCGCACAGTATTCCTGGTCCCTCGATGAACCCCTAGGACATCACCGAGCCTGATGAAGCTCAATAAAAAAGAAGCCAGTGCACCCGGTGCACATGGCACTGTAGCTTTGGCCCTCTAGGTGCACGGAAACTGTCTCGCAACCAGAACAAGCACGGCAAATAGCTGGCTTCACATCTTCATAGGCAGGATCCTGCAGGTGCACTTGTTCCAAGGCTTCACCTCTGTGCTCCAAGTCCCCCCCCGAAGTCTGAAAAAGCTTTGGCTCAGGTGAGGATGGAGAGGGCCAGCCAGCCGCTCCTGAGGGCGAGCCGGAGGCGGAGGGCAAGGCTACGGAGCCGGAGCCTGCGGCTGGTGGCGCAGAGATGAAGGACGGAGGGCCTAAGGAGATCTGGGAAAGGTGAAGAACCTGGTCCCTGAAAAAAGAGGTCCCATCCATCATCGACGCCTCATATCTCGATATGGTTACTAATAAGGTGTTATACCTAGCACTTCCAATGGGTGCCCCATCTAGAGGCCTATAAGTAGGGTAGGGCAGTCTCTTGGATACCCAGACAGGATGATCCTGGTATGTATACCAAGAGTTTCAAAGGGGTGCTATCCATGGTGGTTTGGGGTGCCCCTGTCACATCCACTCACTGGATGGGACGAGCCACAGCACCCCCGACCTGTGACCCCTTGGTTCTCACGCTCCAAACCCCCCGGGCCTCTTTTTCGAACCTGGGGAGCGACCGGGGAGCGACTTGTCGTCGTCGGGACCAACCACCCTTCAGCAAGTCAGAGAGACCCTTGGACTTGGAAGACCTGGCTCGGTCCCCGAAATCAACCACCCCCAGCTGAGGAGAAGGAGTCATTATGCACCTCCCGTGGACTGATCGGGAGTCACTATGTTGCATGTGTGGAAGCATTTTTTGTGTTAGCCGAGAAAACACCAGTGACTGGATCCTCCAAACCTCAGTGTCTCCCAGGAGTCGCATTTGGAGGATAGGGGTGCCATTCTCCACTCACTGAGCGACGAACAAACACCCAACTTCATGTGACTCCTGATCCAATCACCTTTGAAGGTACGACTGGATCCCTAGGGTATGGAATAAGGCTGCCTACATTGAAACCAATGTATATATATATATATATACACTATATACCTACATCTTCCCTCCATGGCCGGTCGCGACCGATCCCCGATACTCTCGGCGTTTCGCTTTGGATCGGGTCGGGCCGGTACCAAAAGCTGCGATGGACGTTCTCTCCACGCGCGGAAGCTCCAGAAATCAAAGGGACGGAAGCCTCAAACGGCCGAGAGAGAGAGAGAGAGTGCTCTCTCAAACGGCCGTGTGCCGCTGGACGGACCGTTGCGCTGGACGCGGTCGGGCGGTCGGGCGGTCCTCTGCGCCGCGGTCCTCGGCGTCCCCGCTTCTTCGCATTCGCTTTTTCTTCGTCCAGGAGGAAAAGGAGGGCACCACGAAGGTCCCGTTGTCCGACGCCTCAGACGAAGAGAAGAAAGAGGCGCCGGACGAGGCCGCGCGGTTGGGGGTGAGGGGGACGGGGAGGAGGGACTCTGATATGGTTTGAGGGCCGGGTTCTGTTCTAATATGCTCTATGGCAGGGGTGTTTCGATCGTTCATTGGGGTTTGCTGCTCTGGTCTTTGTCTGGCGGCGCGACGCGGAGCCTTGGGGCCTCCGCCTCCACAAATGAGACCCCCAAATGATTCGGAGCTGTGAGTATGACAAGGTCCGTGAGGGTCTGGGACTTGCCGGGAGACCCAGAATGGTCGAGCTGTCAACCTTTCAGAAGTGTCAGTGGAAGCTTCCACGCCTTTCTTCCCCTACCTAGCCTACCTCTCGTTCAGGAGGAGAAGGCCTCCGAGGAGGAGAACTTCGACAAGGCCACGGAAATGGCTGGCCTCCAAAAGTTCAAACTCAAGGGGAGTCTCGGCGAGTGGGAGGAAGTTGTTGGGGGATCCGATTGATACAGATTTGGGTCGTGTTGCTGGAGCTCCAGCTTGTGGATCACAGGGGCTGTCTCTACTAGTAGATTCTTGCGTCTCCAGGGGGTCTTGAACAGCGGAGGAGATTTTCCAGGGATCCCGCGTTGGTCAACGAACAGTTGGTGTTTGGGGGTGTTTGATCCTTACGCTTTCAGGATTCTTCAGTGCTGTCCAGTGTTTGTGTGATGCTGCACCAGAGCATGGAAATTCAGAAGACCACTACTCCACCAGGCGGCCGAAAGTACGCCAGGGGGTGTTTGCCGAAGGTACGGGTTTCGACCAGTCAACATGGTCAGAAAATCGCCCGCACGGAGTGGTTTTTGTATGATCTTCCGGTCAGCTTACCCAGTGTCACCCATTGCGGGGATCATTTTTGGTCGGACCATGGGATGCCCTGCCCTGTCCTTAAAAACATGAGGTTGGCAAAAAGTTCCCAAAGAGAGGTGGACAGTGTAACTTTAACGGTTCTGAAGGATCTATGGGAAAAGCGTTTAAACTTTGTTGCTGGAAAATCGACAGGGTTGGTACACGCCGTTCCCGCTCCTTCACTTCCGCTTGCCTTTTCCACCCATTAACCCATGCAGATCGCATGCAGAACGGGCGCTCGGTCGCACTGAGGAAGTTGAGATCAGCACAAAGCGAGGCGAGTTCGATCGCTGGGTGAGTTCTGTCGCCGACGGTCGGACGGTGCGTTTGGTGAGACGGTCGGTCCCGAAC